CTCAGTCAGACACCCGCATAGCAATGGTTAGGTCGAGCGGGCTAATGGCATGGTCCTCCAAGGACTCAAGCCCCGCATCTTCGACCGACTCAAAAAGTATGTCGGGCGATGGGTTGCAGAGGTCCTAGCGATCCTCTGGAGCCTAAGAATGACCCCAAACCGGTCCACAGGGTTCACCCCTTTCTTCCTCGCATACGGAGCTGAAGTGGTGTTGCCCTCTGACCTCGATCACGGCGCCCCGAGAGTAAAGGCCTTCGACCAAGACCGAGCCACGGAGGCTCAGCAGGATGCGGTCGACCTGCTCGAGGAGGCTCGTGATACGACTGTCATCCGCTCCGCTCATTACCAGCAAACTCTCCGCAAGTACCACGAAAGAAAAATTAGGGGGAGGATCCTCGAGGTCGGTGACCTTATACTCCGAAGGACCCAGTCAACCAAAGAGAAACATAAACTCTCTCCACCATGGGAAGGACCCTACACGGTGACCGAGGTGATCCGGCCGGGCACCTACCGGCTAAAGGATGACAATGGCAACGTTCTCACCAACACATGGAACATCGAACAGTTATGTCGCTTCTTCCCTTAAAACTCGGTCTTACCATTTTTCTTTCCATTCAAACGTTTGCTCCTATAGCACCCCAACCCGAGCACTCTCGACCTGGGTCGCTCGGGGGCTCCACGGGGGTGTGATACCACCCTCCTTTTTTACTATCATATAGTAATACTTTTTGCCCAAATGAAAGGGCATCGCCCAAACAAAAGGGCATTCCGTTCCTTTGATTACCCTAAGTAACTTATGTTTTAACCTCCCGACGGATCACACCCCGCCACGACCTACGGTTACGAGCAGCTAAGCCTCACGGGCCACGCTCGGGTTCTTAAGGTTGCAGCCTATGGGTCAATGGGCAGGTGCGAAAAGGAAAGGACCATAAACTAAGCTATGCAAGGGTAAAAACAAGGGTGGATGGGACAAGCTTCCCCTCACGAGTGATTTCATCACAAAACAAACTTAGAATATTCATGAATGTAAAATTGTTCACACAGGGACTTCCCCACGAACTTGTCTTTTACATAAACTGACTATTTCTACTCTAAACTCTATTATGGCCGCCCGACGGCATCGGCTGACGGTGCGATCGACGAGGATGAACGCAGCTCGCTTTCGGTCGGGACGACGTTCGGCTCTGTTGGGGGCGGGACGACGCACGCCTCCAACCCAGTCTCCACTCCTTCCATAGGCTGGACGATATCTTCCTGGCGCACGTCTTTAGCCACACTCAAACGGCGAGCCTCCATCACCCACTGTGCGGTGACCTGCTCGGCGACCATCTGTGCACATGGCACCAAACTCTCCCCCAGCGCATGGATTTCATCTATGCTCCACCCATCGGCGTATGCTCTATAGATGGCCGCGAAGTCCAGATCGGTATGATGGGTCACCACTGAGGTCAGCACCCCAGACGTCCCGTAGAACATGCCGTCGGAGATGAGCGCCCGAACTTCATTCGGGACCTCCGCCAGCTGGACAACGGGCGTACTGGTGCTCGGTCCTGACCCGAACACCTTGGAGCTGACCACCTGCGTGATGTTGCGAATCTGGTCGAGCTCCCCCTCGAGAGCGCGTCGCTCCTCAAGGGACTGGGCTAGCGCCTCCACGCCCCGACCGACTGCTGCTTTGACCGTCTCCAGCTCCTGCTTCAGAGAGCCGATCTTTCCACCCAGTTCTAGAAAAAGACAACAAATTCAGAAGCAAAGGAAAGGAAAAATCAAGGCATCAACTGGGGGCAAAATAGGTACGTACCAAGGCGGGTGCTTTCAAGAATGGAGAGCCCTTCCTCTTGTCGGGTCACCCTCTCGAGCAGTCGAGCATTCGACTCCTCTACCCCGAGCATCTACCCCTGGAGCGCAACCACTTCTTGTTCGGCGTCCGACCGGGCCTTCCGCTTCGCCTCTAGAACCTCCAAGGACTTCTGAAGCACCGCCTCAGTCTCCGCCAAGTGGACCTTCGCTGCGTCTAGTTCCCGCTTGATAGCAGCCGCCCGCTCAACCGCAAGCAGTTCCGTCGCCCGTGCTCCCGTCGTCTCGGCCGCCCGGTCTTGGGACTCATGGCGGGCGGACTCCAGCTGGTGCCTGAGCTCGTCGACCCGCCACGATGCCGTTATTTCCTCCTCCATCCGACCGTGCTCCTCCCGAAGAAATCGGGACTTACGAATCGACATCATCTCCAGATCCTGTAAGGTAAGAAGCAGGCATGCTGAGACAACCATTAAAAGGCCAAGAAGTCAGGGACAACACCAAAAACGCAGAGAACTTACCTCCGCAACGCGTGGCAGGTCGACTGTCATGGCCTGATGGACGAGCTCAACCCTCTCCAAGGCCTCCTTAAGCCTCGGCTTGGAAAGGGCGAGATCGGACTCCATCGATAGTCCTCTCTCCCCAAGTAGGTGCCAGAGCTTTTCCTCCTCCTTGTCACGAAGGATGAACCGGGCCTTTCTCGGCTCACCGGGGCAAGGCCACACCAACTCGCGGGTCACCTCCGACCCGTTGGAAGATCCAGCCATCGCAGTATCATGCGACGACCGGATCATCACCAGCTCCTGGGACGACGGGATGGCCGGCGGCCCCACCCTGGTATCTTCTTTGCTGGAGAAGGGGATCTCCACCACCTAGACTCTATGGCCTGCCGACGGATGCTCTACCTCCGGCCTGGCCGCGTCTCCTCCCGACCCCTCCAGCTCTGACCAGGAGGGCGAACCATGCGCTCCTCCGTCGGGCAAGGCAGGGAGCCCGGTTTCTTTCCTCTCCTCCTTCGTAGCTGTTGCGGGCACCGGCACCATGCCGGGCCTAGCGATAGCGACGACGTTGATCCGGCAGAGCAGGCAGGTGGATTGGGATGCCAGCCACGTGTCGACGCACTGGGCGTGGAATCCACGGTTGCAGCACGGCAAGAACCGGGCCACTTCCCCGTCCTCGAGCTCCGCGAGGCACACCACGCACTCCACAGCATCCTCACTCCTTGTTCGAACGCGGCGCTGGCGCGGCGCGGTACACCGCCTCCGACCGCCGTCGTCCCGCCACCACGGCGCCACAGCGCGCTCTGCGATGCCGCCGCCGCCGCCTGCTGGGCACGGCGGCAGTGGCATGCGTTGAAGCAGCACTGCAGGGAGACGACGCCAAAGGCGAAGATCACAATAAATAGCAGGAGGATACCGGCAATGGTGAGGATGTTGCCGAACGCCATGGCGTGGGAGAGGGGCAGAGGGCGCGACGCTGGCGTAGTACGTGTGTGTTGCTGGAGCGAGAAACTCCTTGGATCGCCGAGTATGGATACAAGGAGGGAGTAGGAAGTGTACACGTGATGGAGCCGGAGAAGAAGATGAAGATCGACTGACGAAGGGGAGACAGAGAGGTCCAGGTTGAAGAGTGAAGACGCATGGATGCGTATGGGACGGGGAGGGGGGCGAAGAGGAGAAGAAACCAAGAAGATGACGCGCTTGGCGGCCAGGCTGCTGGTTTTGGCACGCGAGGGCGGGCAAGGCCATGGACGTGGTTTACGCTTGCTGACGCTCGCGCTGCCGCTGCCGGTGTCGAGCAGCAGCAATGCACTGGGCACCCGGTTTGATTGATCGAACCTGGCATGTGTGTGACTGTCCCTGAATCAACCAAAACAAAGGTCCAAACTCCAACGAACACAACCTGTCCTGCGAGCAGGCTCTTAGGACCCGGATGGGTATGGGGAGTAGCACGATAAGGAGTGGCCTAGGGTATATTCTTGGGTGCGCCCTACACATTTGGTGGTTGTTCTGATTGGTCCGGTGGGTACGCCAACAAAGGTTGCCGTCTTGCCGAAGCAATCACACCAATAGTCCAATCCCTAAATCAATGGTCAGTAAAAAGGAGAACTTTATTTTTTCTATACAATTCTTATTCTTATAAATATGTTTTTGTCCATGCAACTCTAAACTTTGTGTTCTAGCTTACTTCAAATGTGGTTTTGTATTTTTCAAAAAAATAAAACTTTGGTTTATTTATTAAGAATTCATAACTAATTCATTTTGGAATTGAGACAAACATGAAACTAGTACCAAAATATTTTAACAAAGAAGTCTCTGTTGGTCCTAGATTTAGAGTTCTTCGGATATTTATTTAAGTCATCATTTTGTGTTGTACTAAATTAAGATATCGACCAAGAGAATCCATACTCCAAATTGAGTACCAAATATGTTGCCGACAAATTAACTAAATTATTTTGGAGGCTAGCAATGTCAATACTAGTTGTAATGCACAAATATGATCTACATGTAGTAGAGCATAGCACCTGCAAGATTGGTGCCATCTGTAAATTCTCGTTTAAACGTAGTTTGCTAAGGATTCTCTTGGTCAATCCCATGTTTAATATAGTACCAATATGATAATTTAGATAAGTAACGAACATGACTGCAAACAATAAAACACTAGGACTAAGGATAAATAAAATACAAATAACTCCAAATAGAGCCCAACACATAGATTTTTTTTAAGAGAGAGAGAGAGAGAGAGAGAGAGAGAGCTGAGTACTCATTTCATTTTTTTATTTTTATTTTTGGGAGATGGATAACTTTTCATCTTGCTGAATAGGTCTTACTATACTTGCTCTTTTACATGGATTAGAGTGGGTGCTGAAGGACTCGATAGTATTTGACTGAATTTTGATTTGATCCATGGTGAAAGACTGAAAGTGGAGATAGTTCCGTTGTTTTATAGAAACAATGCACCGTATCTATAAACTCGATTTGAAGAGGCAAACTGAAAGTTGCTTAATCGGTTAGTTTTTTATGTTGAAACCTATGGGTTAAATCATTGATTTTACGCTGAGCCTAGTTCTAGACTTGTACTGTGTAAATGTAATACAAAGAGCGTACAATTACCACAAATTAAATAAAACAAAATAGGGTAGCTCGAATTCAACGCTACAGAGTGTACATATGCACAGGTATCTGAAAGCTGTAGTTGCTCTCCGGTTAGTCGGCCTGACGCACGTCCGGGGGTCCGTCGCTACACAGCAGATCCCTGGGCCGCACCGGCCGCGTGGCCTCTGATGGCAGCTGCGCTTCCGAGACGGCCATGCCGACGGTAACGCTGATGCCCTGCTCCACGTCGGCTACTTCGCCGGCGCCGCCGCTGGTGCAGGAGGAGCTCGAGCTCGGGCCTTGCCTTCCGAAGCTCCACAGCCTCCGAAACGACCTCGGCCTCGCTGAGACCGGCGACGACTTGGCCGCGTCGCGCGGGGTCGGCGTCGGCACGGGCGCCAACTCAGGAATCTCGATCACCGGAACGGGCGCAGCGGCAGTGGAAGCCGAAGCGGTCGTGTCATCTCCGTCGTCGCTGGTCATGTTCACCGCGGTGACCGCGCCCTGGTCGGAGACCCCGAGAAGCACACTCCTGGGCAGGTTCGCCGGCTCTGGAGGGAGCGGACGAAGAGCCGAGGCTGGCGTTGGGGTTTGAGACGAGTCGGGGTCGGGCTTGGAGACGGTGAGCCGGCAGAGCGGTCTGGTAGTGTGGGACGCCAGCCACATGTCGACGCACTCGGCGTGGAAGCCGTGGCCACAGCAGGGCAAGAACCGCGCCTCCTCGCCGTCCTCGAGCTCCACGAGGCACACCGAGCACTCCGCCGCGTCCACCTTGGAACCCGGCACAGCGGCGCGGTACACGTACACCGTGACGGGCAGGGAGCGCAGCAGCTCCGGGTCGACGCCCCGAGTCCGGGTGGCACCATTCGAACCCGCCGTCCCGTCGCCACGGCGGCCGCGGCAGGGCGCCGTGGCTTTCGCCGTCCCACGCGTCAAAGCGGTACTGCAGGCAGTTGCGGATGGAGGGTGGGGTGGGGGTGGGGGGGGGTGCGGTGGGGGTGGGCTGCGGCTAGGCACCCCCCAATATTCTGTTTGGTCTACCGTACACTGCCATATAATCTCATGTTTAGCAGCTAATGATGGTAATTAGTGCATGCAGTTTGCCCCTCCAGTATAGTCTGCATGGGTGCCTTGGTGGTAATCGTGTGGCTTTCCTTCAGCTCCCTTGTTCATATGCATGTCTACCTATATTTAGCACAAACGCTATGAATCGATCTACTAAATAGATATACAGTTGCTTGTAGACTTCTGTACCTTAATTTTTTTCTTCATTAGATAAATGTACTTTCTGGAATAGATATGTAGCTCATTTGCCTTTATTATTATTCGCTGTCATATTTTTTCACTCTTATTGTTTCTATTTGACATGGCTAAGTTCTAACTCTATTAAAGATTGTTCGCTATGAGTCTCTAAAAAAAATCTTTGCTGATACCTTGGCCCCCAATATTTGAATCCTAAATCTTCGCAAACACCATGCCCCCCTACGTTTGAATCTGGCTCCGCCCCTGACTGCAGGGATACGAGTCCGATGGAGATGGCCACAAAGATGACGATGGCACTGGCCACGGTGATGGCGCCGCCCCTGACTGCAGGGATACGAGCCCGATGGAGATGGCCACAAAGATGACGATGGCACTGGCCACGGTGATGGCGCCGCCGGCCGTCATGGCGCCACCCGCGGCCGACGCCGCTGGCGCTGCCATGGGAGGGCCGGCGCTCGGCCATGACGGCGACGACACGTCGGTGGCGCCTTGGTGCTGGTGCGTCGCAATGCTCGGTCAGACGACCCTTTCAGTGGCGCGGCGAAGCCCAAGTGTAGTGTAGGTCGGGCACTCAGAGTCAGAGGGCTCGCACAGATATACGGGGGGAGGCCCAATGTGGGATGCACGAAGTGTCCGAGCAGCGAGCATTGCCGTGACGACGGGGACAAACAGACAGCGGCGTTGATGCGACGAGGAGCGTGGGCTTCGTTAGCATGAAGCAGGCAAGACAAAGAGAGAGAAGGCACGGAGAAGGAGGCTTTTGCTCGCCCGGCCAGGCATGGCCGGCCGGCCGGTCAGTGGCGGCGGTGAGACCGAAAGAGGGGGACACTTGAATCCACGAACACGGGCAGTTGACTGGCGCTGTGGATATCGCCTGTCAACGTCAACCGCTGGCGTCTAGCAACTGCAGAGCGCTGCCTGGTTTTATTTGGGCTATGGATTTGATATAAATCCTGGCACGTGAAGGGTTGATGACTCCTGTCCAACCAGCAGAAGTACAGTCCAACGACCAAACTTGAAGGCGCCGTGGCAACATTTCCGCCCCCCCTCAAAATTAACGTATATATTTTGACAAAAAAATGAAAGAATAAGATTGTGGATAACTTCCCTCCATGTAAAAATCTAAATTCGCAAAATATGGCATGCCAAATGGTCATTTACGTTTTGAGATGACTAAAGGAAACAACTTTCATTTGACCGGTTGAAAACCAATGATGAGTTGAACTGCCTTGTTTCTAGTCTCCTACAACTAAAAAGAAAGAAAGTAAGACCACCGTTTCGTGCGACAATCATCGTCGCTCCGTCGGTCCGCCCCTCCCCCTTGTGATACCGCATCACGCGCTCCCCTCAGCCTCCTCCTCCTCCCCCTCGCGCCCTTGGTCGCCGGCGCGTGCCCCCCCGATCCGCCTCCTCCTCCTCCTCCTTGCTGCCTCCTCCCGCCGGTCCGCGCGTGCTCGACGAAACCCTAGCTGCTCCTTCGTCGCTGCCAACGGCCGCAACGTCGTCTCAGCTCATCATCTCGATCTGGCGGTACGTCACCCCCTTCTCTTCTCCCTCGTGGATGCGCGGTTGCCGACGTGCGGGTTGCAGCAGGCATCTGTGCTGCCGTGGCTGGCCTACAGCATGTGGCTGCCTGCGTTTGCCTGCTGGCCCCTGTCCGCCGGTGCGCTATGCGTGCCTGGTCAGCGCGAGGAGGCAGCAGGCGGATGACAGCAACAGGCAGCGGCCGCGTGCGGTGCCTCTGGCCCCTGCTGCCTGTAGTCGGTTGGCCTGTTGTCCTGCCCCTGCTTTGGGGATTCCTTTGGAAAATTTTCCCCACAATTTTTTTGCCAATTTCTTGGTTGAATCGATGTATCTGAACTATGTGTGCTCATGGACAGCGGCATGGGTCCAGCACATGAAGTTGAAGCCGGGCATGGGTCCAGCAGAGGTGTGGATGGGGAACGAAATGATGCCATGTCAGGTGCTCCTCTTGGTTCTCAATCGAGGTGTGGATGGGGAACAAAATGATGCCATGTCAGGTGCTCCTCTTGGTTCTCAATCGGTGCCTTGCTTTATCAACTTTACTTTTAGGCGTGTTTTTCCTTTTTTACTAACTCAATTTTGTTCCATTTAATTTCATGGCAGGTTTTTCTGACATAAGTAAATGCAATGGAAATGCCCCAACAAAAAAATATATTAGAATATAGAAATGGTCGCTCTAATCGTTTGTTGTCCATTGCAATTTAGTATACCCATTTTGGCATGCTTTCAATGGTTTGTATAGTTATTTGCTATTAACGTTGCAACATGATCCTTATCTACTTAGTATGAATATTGCAGTACTACCTGTATTGTTGTCGTCAAAACTGCTCGCTGAGATGGAAGTTGACGAAACTACGAAGAGGGAGTGACTCTTGACTGGAATAACTAATCTACCGGTGCCTACAGTTTCAAAAATTAAAGGTGACCAATTTAGTATGAAGAATGAAAAACATATAGCATGTGTTGCCAGCTTCATTTCTCAGCTATCTATAATTAGAATAAACCTGGCATCGTTCCTTCGAGGTTAGAATAGACATGATTAGAAGTGCATGTGAAACTGCCGACAAAATAATTGTTGAATTCCGTAAGAGCTATGGGTTGGGAACCTGTCACGGGTTCGTTCTGTTTGTCATGACATAAATCATCTCCCATGGTGTTCGTAGGATAGTTATATATCATAGGAAATGGCAGTAACCAAACTCAGATAAATGTTTGGTCTTTCTGTCTCAGTTTTCAAATTTGTTGCCTTCATACTACTTGCAGGCATCAGGAGGACAATTACTTCTTTGTCTATCTTTGTATTTTACCTCTTTAGTCACTCTGCATAATTATGTTCCTTTTTTTAGCGAGATAGCTCGACATACCTATCTTCTGAACCAATAATTAATATACATCATTCTGCCCATGACAGACCCTACAGCCTGTCGATATGCACTTACCTTCATGTAATCAGTGTTAATGCTATATTTGTTTGTGGGACAGTTATGTTCCGAATTTTCTGTGTTTCTTTCTGTACAAAAAAAAAGTTTCAGGTCAAGGTTACAGCGGCCTTTCCATTTCCCTTCATCGACTTGATGTGTTTGATACAAATGTGACTGTGATAGTTTAACAAAGGCCATATCTAAGATTCAATTTAAAGACCTATGCAGTGCCTTCATGAAGACGTAGAGTAAGGTATAACCACCTAAAGTAGATCTTTCTAGAGTTCAACTATGCAGAGCAAAACCACCATATTAGTTCACTGATTCATACCTATTGTGACCTGTCAACTGTGTCAGACATGACCCATCCTGCTACACATTATTGCAAACTATCCGTATGTTAATCAGTCAGTTCAAAAAAGGAAGATTGGATTTGAACTCTTGCAGTGTCACCTTTATTTCGTTATGAACACAACAAAATATCCCAACTTTAGACTTCCAATGTGCTGCTTACCGAAACGCTAGGCTTATTTTCATAAATGACTGCACATTTTGATTTATGTCATGTAGTAGATAACATGCCCTGGATCACCAAACTTTCTATCATTCTCTTCACCTGTTTATTCAGAATAGTAGCAATAGTCTTTTTGCTAATATAGAATAGTAATTCTTACATCTGTTATTTTGTCGTCACTTATGCCTGCAACATCTAAATATTTGTTAGTTCGTCAATTCTTGTAGGTTAAGATTTTCAAAGGCAACAATGAATGAGCATTCAGACAAGGTCGAAGAACTTGCTGCAATGCTTGCTATTGGGTGGTATGATTTTTTGTTGTCCTGCTTTATCTCCTTACAGGTCACTCACTACCTAGGTAGCGAAAAAAAGAGGGTTACCAAACTCTTATGAATATTGGTATGAGTGAGGCCTATTTTGTTAATTCCTTTGTGTTTTTACTTTGTGGCACAATTTATTTGCTAAATTCCTTCCACTGCAAAGCTTCTGCTGCTGAAACAACCAGACAGATTGCAGCTACTCCAGCAACTGTACTTGGCATAAGAGATGGTTAAGGTCATTTTGCAAAAAACCAGCCAAATGATTTCTATCAACGATACAATCGATTCTTATGGAATTTCGGTATAGACTATCTACAATTTCATGTTAAGACAGATTGTTAATGATTCAATCTGTGCACAAAAAACTAAATAGCTTCTATTTGGCAACCACCTATTGTTAAAGAGAACCACTGATAGCCCCATACATACAACGAATCTATGTGGAATGCCTTCAGAAAGCTAACCATTTAGAAAACCCTATTTCCTATATTTACAGGAGAGTGCAAATGGTAGTACTTATGATATCTAACGGTGAACAGGTAATCCAATCAACTCCCACACTGATTTTTTTTCAAAGTTCAGCACATTTGCTGTCCAACAATAATGTGCCTATTTAGATGTGATCGCTTCCGAGTTTTTTTCCTTCTCCTTTTCTGTGTCTTTATATGGTATGCACTTAATCTTAATATCCTATTTCAACTATGCAGGACAAAAGAAGCGCTGAAAAAACGTATACAACAAAGGCTATCCAAACCGCGCTCCAAAAAAAACCATGCCTCCTTCACAGAATCCCCCATGAAGAAGTAAGATCCTCAAACGTTATAATACACAACTGCATACTATGGTACAGGCAAACATATACACAAAGAAACATATTTACTTCTATGTGGAGGTTCTTAATTTTATATATCATTTACAGATCCATAGCCAAAAGGAATTTTTTTTACCTATAGGTTTCATCGTGTCATACATCATTTGCAGAGCCACGAGCGTAGAACCTAAACACCATATCCAACCAGCTGCAGAAGTAACCAAAGGTCCACTCATATTTCCTACATTATCACTTATTGTTTTTCTTCTTCTTTGACTCTGCTTACACAATATTTGGAAGCAATATGAAAATAGCTCTCTTTCTAATGCTTCAAATATGAATAATAATATCAAAATGACCCTGTTCCTAATGCTACAGATATGGATGAACAAAAACGGCTCATCATTTTCCAACATGAACGAGGCTATATTCAGTGCACCAACAGGACATGGCAACACGTTTGTGGACTTTTAAACGTTGTCACTCTTGTGTGAACTACATGTTTATCTCCACGCTTTAAAATATTTGTGCTCCAAGTCAGATCAGGGTACCAAACAAATCCTATATGTATAAGCATAGTAGTCATATGTGCAATAAGTCAATGACAATAAGTGATGCGCATTATACCTTCAAAAACTTTCTTATGGCTACCACTCATATTCTCCTACAACTAAAAAGAAAAAAAAGTAAGGCCACCGTTTCGTGTGACAATCGTCGCTACGTCGGTCCGCGCGTCCTAATCTCCTACGTCGCTCTGCCTCGCGGTTGAGTGTTTTGTTCATAATATTTCGTTTTGTAACCATTCATAACTATTACACGTGTATGTTCTCAAAACCATGAGTTTTGTCGTCTTTCCCCACTTTTCTCATGTGC